AAAAAAAACAAACACTTCTCATTCATGAATTGTCTGACCATGTCCCTTGTTGCTTGGATACCACGTAGTTTTAAGATGTGCATGTTCTAGTACAGTTGATGGTGTAACAGTGTTCAGCCACTCTCCTCTCCAGGCCCCTCTTCTCCACCTCTGACCCACACACAAATGTAGCGCTTGTGACGGCAGGGGCAGGCTGGAAGGTGGGGTTTCTCCCTCTCCGGTCCCCCGTCTGCAGAACCTCTCCTTACTTCCTTTCTGCTCTTTCCCCACCATCGCACTGGAAGACTTGCCCAGTGTGGTCACTGCTCTCCTTTTACTGGTCTTGCTCATTTTGCAATGTCAAAAACAACATCATGGCTCCTAAGGTAATACAATAAAGGCTCCAGATGATCCAATAAACGTGTGAGAGCTCGTGTTTTGTGAGGGTGTCTGTCCCGTGTCTTCCAGGCATCGTAACGAGCCGAGAGACTGTGAGCCACGCCAATGGATCTGTTGCTGTCAGTCCCCATAGAGGGGGTATGGTTCAGCTGGTGGCAGCTGGGAAAGCTAGACATCTCAGCAGTAACCCTGCTTTATATGAACAGTCTATCACTGCCTGAAGATCAGGTACTAGTGTAGGATAAGTAATGATCTCTTGCACATTCAGTCAACTGTAAAATTGAAAAGGGGTGTTTAATATAGGTCACTACACTATCAATCTTGTTGCACACACCATGGTAAATGCCTTAGAAGTGGCCTTACCACATTCTCATTGCAATTGAAGTATGTATATTTAGCATGTTGGCCCTGTGATGCATCATATCATTTTGTATGTCTTTATTCTTTGTGGAGTCAAGATTTTAAGAAAACACTGAAACAGTTTGTATTTCACTTTCCAAACAATTACAGCCTACTCTGTCGCAAGACTGTACTTCACCTGGACTAAAGTGCTGCTGGGTTTGGTTTTACGATAACCGAGCCAAAGTAAATATTTTAGTCTTTATTTCCAGTCTTGAAGCGCAGCCTTCTTTAAGTGCCAGTAGTACCAAAGTACCGACTGAATTCTGGGGAAATGTTAGAAAAGTCACGTTTTGAAAACCACAGTGTAAGTTAAGCAAACATCAGGGTTAACATCCTTGCCTTTATGAACATTGCAGTTGGATCTTTAACAGTGAAGTAGTTAAAACCTCTGATTAACATCTTGTTCATGTTCATGGAAGTATCGAGCCACAGTTCTTTCCTCATGTGATTTAAGATTACATATCGTGTGCGTTTGCAGATGGAATTTACAGAAACAAAATGCATGTCAGGGCTTGGGACTACTTCATTGCTGTCCCCGAATCCTCAATAATTATCAGACTTGCATTACTTCAGAAACACAGGTGGGGTTTATTTTGCTGAAATGGGAGGTGTACTCATTTGTACAAAACATATTTTCAGTAAGCTTATTTTGAACATAGGAACATGATCACTGTTGTTTAGGTTTAGAAAAAGACAGTGCTTTTTTTTGCATCTTATGGATGGGTAAATAGTAACTTCATACAGTGTGATGCACTAATCCCAACCCATCAGCCTTCAACAATTGGGGTCCCCAAAAATGGTCCTGGAGGTCCACAGACCTGCTGGTTTTTGTTATAGACAGGATCTTGGTTATACGGTTTAACCCTTAATTGATTCATCTGAACTGTTTGACTCTTCAATTCTTGAGCACATTACAGGCTACCGTTTATTGTATTTCTTAAGTAAAATCTCTACTATTTGAGAAGGAATTAAAATGCATAGATTTCAATTAAGCAATCTATTAGTTTAATTAAAACTCCAATTAAGTAATTTAGAGCAAATGATTCAGAACCACAGGTGTGTTACCCTTCAGGACTAGAACTGGGAGCCTGTTGTATAATACTGCTTCAAAACAGATCTTGGGGAAAATTTAAAAATGAGATTCCATTACAAAATTCCAATTCCATTTTTGATACTTGGAACATAATTATATACATAAAAGTTTCGTCAGACTTTGCAGGTAACTCTGGGTCAATGTTAAACATGGATAAAGAGAATGATTATTAGCCAGGATAGTGTTATAGGACCTTAAATCTTAACATAAGACAAGTCTCCTTTTCAGGAATGTTAACTTGTCAACCATACGGTCAAAAATCACCATATTATCTGTCATGACAAGTTTATCTGCTTCCAGTTCCAGACTCCTGTTGCTTATAAATGTAATGGAACATGAATATTATTGCTCCAAAAAGTTAGGCTTGGAGAGGACAATTTCCTCTTCATTCAATCGCTAAGATGTAAAAGGTTACAAGACTGGTCTTAGAAGGTGCTACTTTGCACACACAGTCACAGCAAGATAAATAAGAGTGTCTTCAAGACATTTGGTGTATTTAGCCAGGTTATACTGTTGTAATGCCTAAAACAATCTAGAGAGAACACCTAGGAGATCATCTAATCCTAAAGAGTATTGCCATCATGAGGTCCTGTAATTTATTTAGAGTGGTGGCTGAACCGATGCACGTTCCAACTGTCCGGTTCAGAAATGTTCATAATCTCTTTTAAATTCAGATCTCATGTACATTATCCTGTCTAAAATACCATGCCTTTCTATTATTTCCTTATGTTTTGGGGTTTCTGTTTACTAGGGCTTTACACTCACATCGGTTACTGGAAAAAGATCTTCCTGGCTGTAAGACGGATGTCCGTTGCTCATCAAGGTAGCACAACAATGTGGAGAGAGTGCAGTTAAAACTTCAGACAGGAAGACACAATATTTACGCTGATGAAAATGCTTATCTTATGAATTCTTTAAACAGTGAATGTAGATGTCATATGGTTTATGAGCCAGACTCATGGACCAGAAGGCTGGACTCTTCACACGCATAACTGTGTGACTCATTTTTCTGCACTCAGTCCTGCTTCGGGCTGGACTGACGTTAAGCTCTCTGAACATCTGTAAGCATGGGCCAGTTCTACAGTATGTGGCATGGTAACTTTTGCATGTCCAATGCCATGTACTGTAAAGCTATATTTATTTATAGGCAGCTGATGGAGTACTGTATGTGACTAGTCTCAGTCATTCTGCCACAACAGTGAACCAATACAACACTGCAACCACTCACTTTCCTGTTTGGTAATAGACAAAAACAAGATCCATGAAGTACACTTTACAGCATGGGATAAAAATGTAATATCATTCTATGCCAAATGGGACCAGGAACATAATCAAGCTGGGGCAGCCAAGTTTATTTGTAAATTTGTTTTTGTTTAAAAAAAATCAATGACCATCAATACCTGAAATAATGTGACAGAGCTGACTGATATTCTAGTCTCCCACAACAGCTGTGACATCTTTCTAATACAAACTTGTACTTTGGACAAGGAAAAAAAAGTCTGAGATGAATCGGATCACCACAGCTCGTTAGAATACTTCATGCACTTTCATCTGAAAACATGGATCTTCGACACTTCTTTCCTGGTTCCGTATTAAAACGCTGCAGATTCCTATATTAATTGCGTTTATGGCACTACAGCAATAACGAGAATGAATTCTGCATCATCAAAACTTCTACATAATCTTCCAGAATGGGGTGATGTAATGTCTTATCACACAGTTCTAAAAAAAACTGAGTGAAATTATGGATCAGAAAACTGAAAATATGGGAACTATGCAAACATGCACCCAGTTAGTTTATTTTTGGAAAGGAAACATCCTTAGTTCTAAAACCTTATTATTTGCACCATTCCCATAATTAATTTATTAGGATGTATTCTTTTTTAACTGACAGACTCCAAATGTCTGTAACCACTGTAACAAGTGAGTAGTACAATACCACTATATACGAGAAAAATTAGACAAAAATGTTTCATGACATACCTGTTAAGGAACACATACTGGCTTTGCTAAAGCAAAAGGGTTCTTCTCTTTCGTAGTTTGGAATTGTAAGTTGCTGTATTTTAGAAGGCAGCATGTTTTACACTTGTTTTTGAGCTTCTAATCCAGATGTGTTTTAAAAGTGATACAAATACTAATATCAATGTACACAAGATTTTTTACATCATTGAATACACAAGGGAAACCAATGCCATTTGTTTTAGGCATGCAGTGCATTTACAGACATTTGTTTTTTACATTTGTTACAGAAAGTGTGTTTGACACTGCCATAAATTGTCAAAAAAGTATGCAACTGCTACAAAAGTATTAATATATACACATAATAAAACAAATAGTACAGAAACTCTTCTTTATACACTTGTGGAACTTGCGGATCTTGGCGTTTTCTATTCCCTTGATAGCGCTATCATGCTTGATGAGACCTTTGTAAAAAAGGGAAAAAAATGAAATGAGAAAATTGCTGAGTTTCAGATTCCACATGGAAAAAACAGCTCTCAAGGTATACATTTCATTTAGGCAAAAGCATGCCAAAATCAACTGACACTTGGTGCCAGTAATATAGTTTTAATGTTTACCAGAAGTGATATTTCACATCTTGCAGTGACAATGCAAAAAGGATAGAATGCTTCAGAGAAGCCAGTGCATTACCTAAGTAATCAGGGAATGCTGCCTCAGGTGAATAAACTGCAAAAGAAACAAGGTTAGGTTTAAGACCACTCAGAAAAACAACAAACATGCACAACAGTCAGAAAACATCATTCAGTAGCTAGCATTCAACGCTAGCAGTGTCACTGAAGGCATCATTTTAGAGTTGGAGGCAGGGTAAGAGAAATGAAAGCCCACTGTGGAGTGCAGTGACAGCAAAATAATATGGAGGAAACAGAGGTCACTGCGAGGGGCCGTGGGGTAACAAATGCATGCAGGATGCAGCAGTAGACTTTCATAAAAATAACATTTTGACTTAACCCTACCACCCTTTGACTTAAATGAGATTCAGCTGTTCATATTCTGCAGATCAGGTTAAATTGGATTTTTCCCATATTTTTCACAGAAAACGTTTTTAAATGTATTTCGGACATATAAGAAATCCATCAATAAAACTGTTCGTCGTGTGCATCGCAGCAGTCCCTTAAACTCAGAATTGAGTAGTGAGTTCGACTGCTCAGTAGCCACTGTTCGATTAAAGAGAACTTTGGGTGAACTCTATACCTTTATTAAAAAGGATAGAGCTTTACTACAAAGCACAGGTCACATATGGGTTTGAACCCCAATATGGCCTAAAGGTATGTTTTTATTTTATGGGAAAGTAAGGGTTAAAGCACAGGTGCATACTTTCAGTGCGGTTATTAAGAACCAGAATCCAGCAGGTTTGCCAAGTATCTTTAAATCATCAACAGCTGAAGGCCTTTGAAAAGTACGGTCCAGATAAGCTAATCAATGAGTTAATTAACTGTCAGGCTGTGAGCTCCAAGCAATTTAAGGATATCTAAACTTAACAGGAACATCTGTGAATATGCATTTGGAAGATGAAGCTCTGTTCCGACAGTTGGAGGAGCAGATGTTGTCGTATTTTAGTCTGGAGATGTGAAGGCACTTTAATGTTTATTTTTCAGTCAAGGAACTGAAAGAAGAGCAACAAATAGTCTTTAAAAAATCACTTTAACTCTGTCAGAGTTAAAGGAGAGGAGTACGGTATAAAACAAAAGGTGCTTTTGTCCATTAAAAAGTGTGTTTCAGAGAAAAATACATTATCCTAATTATTGGTAAACATAGGTTTGGGAAGAGATCAAATTGTAATTCGACACTTTATCTCTCTTTAAATGTAAATATTCACCTGCTGAGTCCCTTTTGCGCACAGCTGTTCTAATACCCCTCCCTCTATACCCTTGCTACTGCCTCCCTGGTTCATTCCTTGCAATCGAAGCTGGTTTTGTGAGCTTCGGCCTCACAGCCAGAACTGTCATTTCCTCAACCAGGCAAGTTAACGCCAACTGTTAAACTATGAAATACACAGTCTCTTTATATTTGTCATCTCAGTCTGTTAATCAGAATTGAACCAAACTACTGAAATGCCTGTTACAAGCAGAACAATCTAGTCATATCTCTGACTCGTACGCTTTTTCAAGTCACACATGTTGTTCATGAACTTGTGGATTTCACAGTCATCCATTTGATGATAATAATAACAAAAATCCTAATGAGATAATAAATACTAATAATAAATGCTACTACTAAAAATAAGACAAATTAATTCAATTTGAATTTTCATTTGTGTGTTACCTTATGGGTATGCATAATGTTGTTGTTTTTTCACCTACTCAAGCCACTCATTTAAACTTACTGTAACATTGCAGTGGCTGAGAGATGTCCACAAGGTGGTAGGCTTTAACATAAAATTATTACAACATACATCATTCAGTTCAGTGTACCTTGGGGCCTTTGGAATGTGGGCACTTAAAACGCATTATAAGATAATACATGAAAAAATAAACCTTCATTTTTATTACTTGTGATGCTTTTTCCATGTAAAACAATTTACATAATAACAACAGAGCTCCAGTTTATTAGCCTACATTTAAGACCAATCAGTCTTGTACTGGAATATTTCAAATAAGAAACAAGAAGCCTGAATAAGCTCTACTTTTATAAAGTCCCCTGTGGCTTCTATGTTTATAACTGTGTTAAAAATGTAATGGCAGTTACAAGTGAAATTGAACTGAGGTGAACTTGAATTTATCAAGTTGTTTCTATTTTAATTAAGTAAAACCTATTTAATACTGCTGCATCCTATTAATTGGTTAGGTTAGGGATAATCCAGAGCCTGTAACAGCAGATGAAAGTCTCCTGCTGGCCATCAAAAAGCACCACATTGTGTCGAACAGTGTTTCCTTTTAATAAGGTTGATGTTATTCTCACCAGCTGGCCCTCACAGCTTCAATGTCACTCACTAGATTCTGCGCCAAGCAAATCCCGAAAATCTGAAAAATATTAAATCCGACAATGCATCACAAACAAAGACAAAAGATCTACGGGGAAAAAAACAGTTTATGTGACGAATAGTCCTAAATGATCTTTGAATGGGATTTGGCGAAGTACAGTATGAACCAAGAGCAAAGAGAGAAGTATAATCTGCGTGTGTGGCTGGCTTTACCAGGTCCAGCTATATAAAAACATCAAGATACTTTACAAGGAGACTAACATGCCCTATTTGGACAACAAAATGCTGTACGGAGAGAATACGTTTCTGTATAGGGATGAAAAAATATTGTATAGGAAGAACTACGTGCAGTACATAAAGATGAACCTCATCTGTATTCAGAAAGTAAACGATTTTGTAATGAAAAACAAAATGATGTTATGGGACATTAAAACACTGTACATAACATTGTGCGGAGACAACAAATCACCATATAAGGACACTGAAAGGAGAAATCTTTCCCTAAGACTTTACAGCAGGAAGCAGCCTCCTCTCAGAAAAGTCATTGACCTGAAAGCAACTTTACACAGAAAGCAATTGTTTTTCATGTGAAAACCAGGGACAAAGTTAACATGGTAACAGAGGCATCTGTTTGCTCGAGTTGCGTAGTTTCTACCCCAAAACAAAGCTGAGCGTTTATGGCAATCACAGTTCTGAAGGACGATGAGTCTATTCTAAAATTTAAAAAACAAATCTGTAGCAGCATGGAAGTGCAATGGTTAGCACTGATGTTAGCCCTGGGTTCGATTCCAGACCCCGGAGTGTTACCTGTGTGGTACGTTCTCCCCATGCTTAAGTGGGTTTCCTCTGAGTGCGCTCGTTTCACAACCCAAAAATCATACTGGCGAGTTAATTGGCTTTGTGGAAAATTGGGCCCTAAGTGTTAGTGTGTATCTGTGTGCGCTCTGTGAAGGACTGTACAAAGGGTGTACACTGCCTTGCTTCTGTTGTTTGCCAGGATAGGATCCGGCTTCCCCTTGACCCTGTATTGGACAAAGCGCTTAGAAAATGGATTGATGAAAAACAAGTCTCATATTATGTTTGTCACTTCCAACACTTACAGGAGTTAAGGGCAAACGGTAGTTAAGTGTGATGAATCGGTTGACTCATGTGACACTACTCAGTCGGCTGAGTTCTTTCAAATGGTTTTCGAAGACCTCACTATTCAAGAGGAGTTACTGACGCTGAAAACCCTTTGAAAGGCAGAACCAGGTAACTTGCTTCATTTAATGAGCTGAAGAATGATTCTGTCAGAAATATTGTGCCAATCGGGAGTCAATTATCAATGCACTAAACTAGTGGTTCCCTATCCAGGTCTTTTGTTCCAAATGGGCACTTAATCACCAGCCTTAACTGCTGCCAGAAACTGATCTACTTGCTTATTACTTTTTTTGCTTCACTTGGTCCTTCACTTTGACCCTGAAGTGCATTATTTCCAACATTTTAGCAAATGGAATCTTATGCTGTCTCTCCTAAACTTGCAAATTAAGAATTTGCTCCCTTATTTCTCACTAAAAAACTCTTAACAGGCAATCAATTAATGTTGAACAGACAATGGTGGAAATGATTCTGTATCAGAAAACCACTATAGTAAGTCAGTGTTTTTCCTTCTGCTTACCGTAAGTCCAACTGGTAAGCTGTTGTGAGATTCACTAATTAGCCGAGGGTTAATACTGTACCAATTGCAAATCTCATTCAGCTTTGTTAGAGGAGAAAGCTAATTGTTTAAAGGTTGCAAAAACAAAAATATACATTTGCCTGGGATTAAAAGCTAGAATTAAACCAAAGCTTACATCCGCTTCAAGAAAGAAATGTACCACCCAAACATCTGACATTCTGTTGCATTTTTACTTGGTATTTCTAACAGATGCGATAGAAAAATTAATCAGTCTGAGCTGTGAAATGGAAGGGATACAAAAGGCAATTCCAGACATGATTAATGCAGCGAAAGTGCTGAAATTGAAATTTTAACCTTTGGGAACAGCAAATGCAGATGAAGAAAATGAAACATTTTGTTTGCTTCTGTGCTCCACATACTGATAGAAAACAAATCCACTGCTGGCCTCCTGGACATCAGCAAGTATAGTAACCTCTTAACTGGGTCTGGCCTAAAATTGTACTTCAAAACTGTCCTGTAAGTGGCTGTTAGTGTGATTTCTGAAAAAAAATCAGCTCAACGTTTATCCTGGATTGAGTAGCTTGGGAAACCAAAATTGTCACAAAATCACATTCAAACTGAAATCGAGGAATTTTTGGAGGCTTGTGGATACAGAGAAATACAGTAACACAGCACAGCAGCAGTGAAAATGTCTTGGTTGGTTCAGCATACATTTGCGAATCCGTCATTCACAACAGGACGTTTTGTCAAATCAAAATTTCAAATCCATCAGCCAGACAAGCTTCATAACTAGATCTCTATCCTGTGGAGTTATCACTGTACTGTACATGCCACATTTTCGCATTGGAATTCATTCATTTTCAATTATTGATTGTATATATTGATTATACTAGATATTTTCTTCACATTTAATTTATTTATTTTCAATATATCTGTCTGTGCTTCAGGATATCATTCATTATATACAGAACTTACCCATTTGTTTTGAGATCAAAACTAGCTTCAGAAAAACAAAATGGATGGAGACCACCGATGTTGTATATAATAAACTGAACTTTGCTCCACTTACTGAGTATACTTAAATAATATGGATATATTTGCATCACAATGCTTACAAATATCCAATAAGCTTCTTCAACTCATGGATGATATCAGAGTTTCTCTCAAACGACACTGAGCTGACTTCTTAATTGGTACAACGTTCTGAAATACAAAACTAACTTGCTGCGCGTACTAGACTTTGAAAAAGTCCCTCTTACCTGCAGTAGTGCAATTCCAATAAAGATGCCCGCTACAACAGTCAAGTTGTCCTGTAGCCACTTCTCAAACTGAGGTACACAGCCTTTGACATTGATGAAAGTCTTCTGTTCTGAGTCCTTCACACAACAAAAACCAGCAACGACGTGAAATTGTGAATGCTGTGTTCCTCACACAAGAAAGTGCTGCATCTTACAGAACAGAGACTCCCACCGGAAGATTTGACAGTTTTACCACATGCGTTTGCGTTTGTTTTCCCACCTCTTATCCATGTTTTAACTCTTTTGTAGCTGAATGTTAATGGAGTTTTAACAGAAAGTTCTGGAGGAATGATAGCAACCAAGGTCACTCTCACTTCTGCTACTCTGACTTGTAACCCTCCATGATTTTCCTTCCCAAAAATGCTATGTTCACGCTAGTAAATCCCTCTTTTGTCTTTGCAATAGTCCTTCTGCATCCCTGTGCCACCTCATCTCCACCTTTGTAGCTCCCCCTTACACTCTGTATGGGGATTCCAACCTCAAGCTCTCAATAAATATTCCTAAATGCATTTTCTTCTCATGTTACTCTTTGGGTACTTGGTTTTGACCATTTCTTTTTCTTTTACTGTGCTTTACCATGGTACAAGTAGAAGTTAATCAAAAGAGCTAAAAACACACAGTGTCAGCTGTGGGGGACTTCTTCGGGCTGATAGCATTACGTCTTTGTGCTTCACCACACTTACAGCTACATTAGAGGTTCGGTTGTCGAGCTGTGTCAGTGTACAAGCTGCAGAAGGGCAAGCAGAATTTAATTCCACGCTGCACAGAAAAAAAGAGAAAAAAAACATTTCTGTCCAAACGTTTTTTTTTTCTTTTCAGCATGAAGTTAAGCTCCGCTTGTTCATTTACTCTTGCTGCATAGGATGCAAATTATATCTATGAATGGTAGCGGCCAAACTCAGTGATTTTCACCCTGGTGGTGGGAATGTCAGAAAAAAGACAATAATAGAAATGCGACAATGTCTTTGCCTCACTGCTTTTACAGTCCTACTTCCGACATGTAGTACCCCACCTGACTTAAGCTCAAACAGATGTGGGATGTAGAATGAGGAAATTATTTTTTGGAATATATCCTAAGAAAAGTCAGCTGGATTTTTTATGGAAGACATAACGGAACTATAATCCATGGGGTGTTAAAAACCAAAATATATGTGACAGCTTTACCAGTTGTATGGAAATCTGACAGTCAAACCCACTGTAACCCAGTTACAGCCGCTAGTACAGTAAAGAGTTAAACCATAACTCCATCCTGGCATCATTCCCGATAGATATTATACAAACTATACAAAGTAAAAACACCATTATACTGTAACTCCATCATAAACACTACAGAACACAACATAATACGATGCATAATGCTCTTAAACCATTTATGCAAATCACATTACAGGCATTCAATTATTATAGTTAATAAGTAAAAAGCATTAAAGACTTTATTTATACTTCATAATTTCACTTTAGACTAGGGTCTCATCTGGAGTGTAACCTACAATGTTCCCGTTGTTTGCTGGGATAGGCTCAAGCCCCACCACCACCCTGAACTGAAATAAGTGGTTGGAAAATAAATGGATGGTGCATAATGTCACAAGATCTCAGTCGAAAACTAGGAGCAGAACTCCAGAGAGGGAGAACTGAGGTGAAAATAATGGAAGACACATTCTGGACTTGAGAGCTGACAAGGACTTTCTGCATCTGCAGTGGTCCCGAAATGCTGATGTGAAATGTTTTATTTCTTTCTGCATGTTGCTTCATCATGTTGTGTCATGTTTAAGAATTATGACAGCGTTTTTTTAGCCTCATTCAAGTAAACCACTACCATAAGTACTGTCTAATTGCAATTCTCTTTCAAGTGCTCCATTCCTCACCAGCTGTACTGTATACTCTCTGCCATTCAGCTGTCAATACAAATGTGTAACAAAAGGTGTATTAATGGATAATCACTTTTTTTATCTTGAAAATGAAGCTTGAAGCAATCCTGAAGTATTCTTGATCAGGCAGTAGTGTTTTGGGCACATAATTTACCAAATGACTTCTAGGCAAGTAGGTGATTTTAATTTTTGAGACAGTGGGAGAAGTGATGGCTCGTTTTAAGGCGCTGTTCCTACCTCTCAGCCCTTGTTTGCTCTGTAACCCACTCCATCAAGCCACACTCAAAGGGTGTCTCTCTTGAAATCAGCAAAGTAGAGTCATGACTGACTCAGTTTTTTGGGACCTTTTCCTTCATCAGCAGAGTCCTCCTTTTTACAAGTTTAAAGTTGAGCACAAAACTAGACTTGGAGGAAGTCCCAGTTACATAGATCGTGAACAGCAGAGATTAATTCTTTGAAGCCAAAACCGCCAATTGCTTTGTGCAATTAAAAAATTGCAATAATAAATCGATGTAATTCATTGTTGAATTTCCCTTTTTTATTCGTTTTCTTTAAAATATATTAATCACTGTTCACAACCAGCTACAACTTTCCGTTCCAAGTAAACAATGGAGACCTCAATATAAAATATCCCTGGAAAATACTCTGGGCTAGTGCAGAACAAAACAGTATTAGTACCTAATGAAGAAAAAATGAGTGAAACGTTGTCAGCTCACCTCTTTCGCTCTAACATCATAGCCACACTGGGTGTTAATGACATCCTCCTGAAAAAAGAGGAAAAGGCTTAATGGTGATGTCGAAGAGCAACCATATCAACATTCGTATCTCATCTCTCATTTAGGATGACAGCTCAGTGCTGCGGGAATCTGCTATGAAGCAGCTGTCTTGACTGTGCCTTCTGTGTTGAGCTCCACTAAGGAAACTGAACACACACCAAATGCCAGGTTGGATTTAAGGCATCAAGAACTGAGAAATAATAGTCTAAAAAACTAAAAAGAAAGTGAACTGGAAATGCCTGTAAGTTACGGAAAATGTTGCTTTCTTTACATACATCCATATTCCATCATCCACATTACAGAGAAAACAAAACAGGCAGCCCATATACAGTACAAACAACTGTCTTATGTGAGGAAATGTCTTCTGCTGCCCTGCCTAATTAGTGTTTTCATCTTCTGTCCTTATTTGAACTTATGTAATACTAAATGTACTTCCCATAAATTACCACACGGATCTCCAGGGGGCGACACGCACCTCAGCTCCAACAGCTTGTGGCTGTTCACAAAGTTATGCTCCTTTTGCCTGTTTATTAACCACTTCAATTATGATATCATGTTAAAACCCTCACTGGGCCCACTTGCTGACTGACAACTAGTCAAAAACAAACACAAAAGCAAGCAAAAGCCATCATTAACATGTATCTGAAGGCTGTTGTGTAAAAGTTTCAATGACCTCATTTCTTAAAAATGCGTTACAAAATATCGGCAACACATTTTTAAAAACGCTGAGGGAGAACAGAGCTGTTGGTGTGTTCAGTTGAATAGCCCTTGTTAGAAGACATGTCAGGATGACGGTTTCCTTTTTGTACTATTTGTTACTATAGTTGCATTAGACACTAAGAGGCCCTTTCTCCCAGTTTCACTGTGTTCCAAACTTTTGTCCCATAACTACTATGGCTTGCCAACTGGAGGATTTGTTTATTTAATTTCCCCATAAAAGATGTTTCTTTGGACCCGATTTTTTATGTTTGTTTTCTTTTTTCTTTACAGGCCCAAAGTCAGTTGCAGAGACTTATTTTTTCTTTTACACAGCTCTCCGTGAGGGTCTGGATCATATATTTTGACATCCCCCGTTTCTTATACTTCACTAGATGGATTCACTTAAAACTGTACTTGAGCCATAATTGATAATTACCATTCTTTCTGTACACTGTAAACATCGGGCACATTTTGATGGGAGCCGACTGGACGTTAAATAAGTGCCGTATTAAAAATAATGTTTAGGGGGTTACCGCAGGATCCTTGGTACAGCAGGAGAAAGGTACTCCACACTTCTCTCGGCTGGGGTTGGTCTCAGTGCAGTTAAAGTAAATGTTTAAGTTCCAGTCATCAGCACCAAAAGCACCACAGCACTCCCACTGTGGAAAAGAGAGAAATTACAAATATTTGTAAATGGGAATTTATTTTTTATAGCTGCCACTTGATTGAGGTCCATCTTATTTTACCTTATTATGTATCTCTGGACTATTCTCTGTCTTCCGCCATGATGAAGTGCTACTGAATGTTTTACTTCTGTGTTATACAAGATAACTTCCAGAAGCTTCCATAAACGTCCTGAGGTTTTGGGAAGCCATGAGATTTAGAAGTTAAGTCCATGTAATCCTCTGTTTTCAACACCTTTCAACAAGGTGGGAAATAAATTTGAAAATTGTGTATTTACTATATATATTTACACTTACTGCATAAATGTTTTATTTGCATTTTAATCCATGAATATTGAGTCTGATGTACGACTGCGTCTTTCTTTGATAAGGCATAATCTGCCAATGTTTTTAAACAAGCTCCAATGAAACTAGAATAAGCACGAGGACTTACTGCAGAGTTTAGTTAAGAGTTCATTTAGGGTAAGGATACTTTTGTAGGCTACTGAAACTGGATTAGCAAGGAATAAGCTGAAAGAGCAGACGTTGACAACAACTCTTTCATTAGCCTACGCCCTAGCACACAGAATTAGCAAAAAGGGAGTGGAGTGCTGCCTCTGCCTCTCCTGCACTGTATAATATTTAATTTCTGACAGCACATGGGAGGGATTGTTAACGATCTGTGATTTCACAATATACACCAGTCTGCCACAGAACCTGCAGAATCAGGAGAGGAACTGCTGAATAAAGCCAAAAGTGCTGTCCTTACGTATTCCTGGGTGAAGTCGATCAGGTTCTGGAGGTCAATGTCGTCCCGGTAGGCCCTGATGTTGTTGTTGATGAAGAAGTTGAGCTGATCTTTGATCCAGTCTTTGAAGACGAAGGCCAGAACTCCTGCAGTCAGCTCCAAGAAGAAAATCACCCCCAGGAACACAGAAAACTGAAACAAAAGTTTGTAGGTGAAAATGGCACCTAACACCTGTCACCTCAATTACAACCAAAAATGACATTTTGTTATATAAAATATTTCATCTCAATTAAGGCCACAAAGGTCATAGCTAAGGCCAGGAGAAAATCTGAAAGATTCTTAAAGAATCTTAATACTCTGGTTTCCAATTTTGTTAACAGAATTATGATTATAATTACAGAATAAAAAGTCACAGCAAATTGATGCACATGAAAATTAAAACCTTAGGATAGTATACATGTAAATAAAAATACAGACCAATTACCAAAACAAAAGAGAAAAATGGATACATATCATACAGTATATTGAGCATCCAAAACAAAACGTGTTGCTTATAACTGAAATAAATGTACAATGTTATTGTCAGGCAAATTATGATTTTTGAAGCAAGTTGACATTTAATACAACAGTTCAAGTAGGGAGCTGCATCAGCATGTATAGGCTGCAAATGAACAGGTAAAGGTTTATTCCATACTGAAAAGAAAAGAAGGCTCCTGAAGAAGTCCCCACAATTAAAACTTTGTGTCTCTTTTCTTTTCAGCTCGGAATAAACCAGTTCCATTTCCACAAGCTGTTCCACTTGATATAACAGACATGACATGTAAATTAATTACGGTGATCAGCATTTGTCAGCAACAGGATAGAACGTCCACTGTGAAAATTACAGGCCAGTTGTATGTGTGGCCAGTGCTGGAAGCAATACAAGCTGTAGAGTAGACTAGACTTTGCACCAGATTACAAATGGCGATCCCATCAGGTCTGGTGAGATGTTGTCCACAGTCAGGACCAGCATGTGCTGTTCACTCATCTGTGAGCTACAGTATAGGCATGCCTGCCATCTCAGTGAAAACCACAAATGAACCATCCATGAAACTACTGACGCGTTCTCATCTGACAAAAGAGCCATTGGTACCAAAGCATCATGAATCACGACTGCTGGAATGTCCTCACAGAGGGATGATCTGTACAAATGGCAGTAAATGAGACACTGTGGTTGATTGATTGACTTTTTGATTGATTGCTTGCTTGGTTGGTTAATTGACCCACCAACCCCAGGACTTGATTGATTGATGTAGAACTATGTAACCAGTTGCCAATATTCCAGGACACTCGGACCTCCCCATCAATCTTGTTGACGTGACTCATGACCTCCCAGACTGTGGCCCATCAGTGATGGACTGCACTTGACTGCAAAGCCATATCATCTTAGAAATTGCTGACTGTGAATACCCCGGATTGACTTACAACAACTTCCAACAATACAGTTGACATAAAGGTGTTATTCTGCTGTTAAACGGGCTCCTTACTGTTTTCTGCTTTCGTGAATTCCACTAGGCTTTACGTTCAGCAGGTTAAATCACCTTTTCACATGTCAAGTCAGCTCTCCCTAATGAGGTGCTCTGCTGGTCCAATCATTTTAATGCATCGTGGTTAGCAATGAATATTCGACTAATCAAAATGATGACAAAATCATTTAATCAATGTCCAACATCTGTACACTTTATATTCTATAAACATAAAGACAGTGAAAAACGTAGTAAAGCAGTCAAAACACTATACTGTACCATAATTTGTGAGTGGGAACATCACATTCTGAAGTGATGTGCTTTTCTCTGTAAATATGGTCAGTCAAGTCCATTCTTAAGACGATTTCAAGCTGTTTGAATGGGTGCAGCCTACTTACTGTCTGCCAATTCTACTGTTGCATCAAAAGGAACAAGGATAAAAGACAGTTGCATAAACAGCAAATATTCTCAGCCTGTTAGAGATTCCTCACATCTGATCATCCAAGCGATCCAGCACCTCATTTATTTTTTGAAGGATCCCAGCTCATTAGTTTTTCTAATCTTAATTCAAAGAAATTCAAAGGAAAAAAATGGATGTTCTAAACCAAATCTTATATTTGTTGAACATTCTTCAAACTCCTGCATTAAACTATTTATTTTCTCATGTGGACCTAATACCACTCCTGGGATTTTTTCCTGCACTAAACTCTTCCCAATGCAATGTTTTTAACATGTTGCAGCTGCAAGCACTGAAAGCCATCAAAATATCTTAAAAAAATATAGAGTAAAAAGAATTTCCAATTTATTCATACCATAATGTTCTACAAGAGATAAGAAGGACTGATACCAGACTGTAATATTGTTTAAAGATTCACATTGTAGATTTCAAATGTCTTTGAATCTCAGAGGTTAATAGGGTTCTGTTTACATAAAACATGCAAGTTTGATCAAAATTCATGCATATTTTAATACAAAACAAAAAAAAATAAGTTCATGAACATGAAATCTGCAATCTCACTGATGTTTGTAAACTAAAAAAAGCTTCCAGGAAACTCTTTAGCTAACCATTCAGATGAATCATTTACACATTTCCCAATCATTTTCTGAATGTTATATAATTAAATCAACTTTAACCTTCCAGGCCAATATGGCAAGACTGTTGTTTTACTTAGTTTCCCTTATTAATTAATTTATTTGCATTACTTGATGGTTTCTGGAAACCTAACATAAAAGCGTCTTGAAAGTAAGCTGATAAAATATTTTCTGTTGCCTTTACACATACAGTGAGACTTTTAGAAATCGACAGTAGATTAATAAAATTTAATTCAAGCTAACAGAAAAAAAAACAATCTGTATCTGTTTGACTGTAGGCATGTACAGTTCATAATCTGTACATGTTAGGACTATTGCATTCAGGAGTATACATTTCCTCTCTTGTCATTTTAAGTTGTAGGAACACAACTGCATTGTAATCGTCAATGTACTTGCACAACCCCCCTTCAACTACATACTGTTAAATGTAATGAGCATCAGTTAAGAAAGAACAATAAGGAATGAACTATAAAGTCCCACTTTTCAAGAGAGTACTGCCTTCATGCTGATTATCAGCATATTGGACCAACATCTCAGACAGAACCAATTTTTCTCTTGCAAAGAATCATGGTCATCAGCAAATGTGATGCAGACACGCAGGGTGTTAATTGTATATTTAACAGCCCTAGATCTCCACCTGTATCTATGGTCGGCAGCCAGACTGTTTGGCCAAGTCCTGCGACCTCACTACCTGCCCTTCCTGGGGGCTCATCCTGACGTGACAACATTCCAGCAGAACAACACACATCCCATATCGCACCCTGGCTCATGTAACCCCAGCTTTCTTTCAAAAAGAGAACATGATAGGTACACTTTGAAAGCTCTGTTTTCCCAACATGAGCCCCAGTGAACATCTGTGACATGACCTGCGATGATGAATTACGTGTAGGGCTCAAAGACCAATGAACAGGCACATGGTTGAAGAGGTTCTACAGAGGAAATGGGGCAGAATCCCAGAAGAGCTTCCGACACCTTTAACACCTCTGCATCTTCAAAGCTGGTATCCTACATCAAACCGTTCCTTTACTCAGCCTGAGGCATTTTGTCAATTTCAGCTTTGACAATGAGTGATCAGTCGTTTCTCTTTCTTCTCGTCTAACGGTTTCCTATGACCATCTCAGAGACACTTACTGTAACTCTACTGCGGGTGTGCTGTTGCAATGCTGGAAAAAAGCTTACGTTATTGCAGTACAAAAGCTTAGTTCTGGACAAGACAAGGGGAGAGGTGGGAGGAGAGGGGCAGTGGTGCTGTGGGAAGGACTTACAAACTTCAGGAGGAAGGTGTTTTCCCTCAGAGCTCCTATGCAGCCAGCAAATCCCAGGATGAACATCACCCCCCCGACCACCAGGAAGAGCCACACAGGGTCGAACCCCCCCAGGTCTGTGATGGAGGATATGTTGGACAGCACACCCTATGGAAAACAGATACCAAGTTATTGACTGCAGGCCTATTTTCTATGCTTTAATGTCGAAATACAAAGGTCAGATTCTTGTGACAATTAAATCGTAAAACACTTTAATTCAGCAGAGACTAGAATGTCTAGATTGAATTGCCACATACAGTATTTTAAATCAACCACAAAAATGAGAACTGCAATGTTGGAATATCAGAAAATCCTTTTAAAAGGAAGTTTACTCCCTTTCTTCGTGACATATATGAAGCCCAATTGAGCTGTTAAAGAGACTAGAAACATTGAACATTCACCTTCTGGGGGCACTTCAGTTAAACAATTTGCAAGAACAGACAGCACAAAACAAACTAAGAGCTGAAGATCACTGTAACTCTTCACCAGCTGTGTTTTGTTATTGTTAATATGTAACTGGTCACAGTGCTCCTAACAAAATGGACAGGCGATCCTTCTCAAAAGCAGATACACATTCCCAAATAAGTCAAAACTGAATTCCAGAATTTAACAGAGTATGACAAGAAATGCAAAGGCTGAGATGTAAATAATTGTACTATTATTTATTCACTAATATTCATTGTTTTACTTATTCATTATTCAGGAGAGAATTTTACCTTTGTATATCCATAGACTGGAAGTGATTTAGTACATTTTCTTTTTTTAAAAAGATACATACTTCCATATGGAGCCATGGTAGATCAGACGGCAAGGGTCTCTAGCTCCTGACTGGAAGGTCCTGGGTTCAATCCCAGGTAGGGGCAAGCAATGTACTGTAGCTTGCTCTAATTCCTTCCAGACGGCTCCCAGGTTCACTCAGCCTGCTTTCCAAATGAGTACTGGAAGTTAATCCTTCCAGGATTAATAGGCTGTCTGGAGTGTGATGCTGACCACATCCCCTCCACCTCCAGTGTCGGATGGTTGAGAAAAATGGTGTACCTTGCCCCCCCATTCCCCATGGGCCTTTATGGCCTGGAAAGGGGACCTAACCTACCTTCCTACATATTCCCATTTTTATTGAAACTCAGGAGAAAGAAAATGGAAGAGTTTCTCTCTCTCTGGATTTAAGGGGTCTCCAATATAGCGTACATACAGTAGTTTATCAGATTTGACCTTAATCACATCTTTCATTGATCACATTTTGGTTTCATCAGATTTATTTCTGATCAAAGTTTGCTTTCAATTTCTGCCACTCCACTTCCTCTAATGTGAAGCCCTTTTCCAGCCTCCTTACGTGTGCCAATTAAAATTTGATATCTGGCTTTAATCAAATAAAGGCTTCAATGAATTAAATTGGGCTTGCTAGCACTTCTGTAGCTCTTTTAATGGAATCTAGGAGATCGCACCTCTCTTTCTATTCCACCACTCTTGAATGAAGATGTACTTTTACATGCTTTATGTTGAATATCAGAAAATCTCCATCGGTTTTATTTTATTGATGGTTTTCACTCAGGTTCCAGGCAAAACCAAAAGATAAAATGTTAACCAAGTCCAGGCTGTATTTAAAAAAGTTGGAGCCAGGTTGCTATTTGAACTAACTGTCCCGAATCCCTTTTTATTCCTCTTAAATTGACAAGTACTGTTTAGCATTTTGAAAAAGCAGGATTGTTTAGTTAAGCCAAAACAAACCATCTGAGCGGCAGAGCTGCTACAGAAAAGAAAAGAAAGTTCATATGAAAATTAACCTCTGTTGATATTCAAAATAAACTGCCTAATGTTTTCCAGTGTAGGCTTGGCAGTCCGTGTCTGACAGTAACTTAAGCTTTCCTGCCCTTGTTTTAAACTCAAAGATTTGTCTGCTTCTGGTTAAGGGGGTCTTAAATCAAGTCAAGCATTAACGGCTCTCAAGCTGCAACTCAAATATTTTTTTCGATCCAAAAACATTTTGTTGAGGGGGAGTAGCGGTTCATATGTTTCATATGTTGGTTTTTTTTTGGTCGGAAGGATGTTTGTTGTTTGTTTTTACGAAAAACCTTTGTCCTCCAGTAGACTGTGCCACTGTTTTTCCATGTACACTAATTAATTCTGAGCCTTTCTGTTTCAGAATGTGTCAGGAGCATTTTAGTGACCGATGATTCGTTTTACAGTATATCATATCATCTTCACAGAGATTACAAACCTAAAGGAAAGCAATCTCCGTTTTGTTTAAATTATTAAAACATCTTACAATCAAACATTTGACAATATTGCAATTTTCAAATCATTATATTGTGAATCTTATACTGTATAGTTTCTAACTCTCTCATTACTCTTGTATTATGCTCAACTCAGTTGGAATACAACACAAAAGTTTGTTCATAATGTTAACTAATATGACTTAAAGCAGGGATACACTTCTCCAAGATTCATTTTTGAATAAGTACAGCAGAGACTTGTTTTTTTTATATTTTCCCACAAAAGTGACATTTTCACACATTAACACCTTAAAATATTAAGAAAGTTTCATTTGTGTTCTTTAGAAAAGCAACCATTAAATTTTTATCCATTCACATAACTATGTCAAGGATGTTTCAGGTTTGCTTTTTATTCCCTCCAGTGTTTAAAAATGAGGTAGCTTGTTTGTCCTCTACTGGAATAGGTCTGAAATGTGCCCCAGGTTACAAACTATGAATCCAATCCTCTCAGGTGTCTGTCCCCCAGCTCCCTGTCTCAGTATACTGTGTGCCATATACAGTACATGTGAAATTGCAAAGATGATCTCCTGCTAAAGCTGAAGTTCTGTCAAATATTAGGGGAGAGACAAAGCTAATTTTGAACCGAGTGTAAATGTTTTTCCCCACTGACTTTAACTTTTTGTTTGGCAAAACGTAGATAATTGTGATTAGTTCTAATATATTAAGAACATAAAGTTTGCAAACTACAAAGCCATAAGTGCTTCTATCTAAGACGGTAGCTAACTGAACTGAAAATCTCATCCAACGACTTTGTAAAAGTAGTTATGGCATCAATTTTGACAGCCTGTGTGAAAGCACATATGCTGGCACTCCCTTACAGTACAGTACAGGATGTTGGGCTGGGCACTTCTCTCAACTCTGTAAATCCTTCTGCTTCAGAGAGGCAGTTAAGAACATTTTCTTCAGAATCTGTTGAGAACTTGCATCTGATCGGGTTTGTTGTTACTTGCGGTTTGTAAAAGCTGCCTCACTCCTCCACCAGCTGGAGAGCTGTGCAAGGAATCGTGCTCGTCTGTATTTCCTTCCAAAGCGACAGTGAGTGGCACGCAGATGTGTACACAACAGATGACACAACAGATATTCACACTGGGTGTAGCAAAAGGGAAGAGGATCTTTCATCTTTGCAGTCACTACTACTACCGCAAATCAAATACCCAAATGGGAGAAATTTCTTTTCATTACAATACAAAATAACATTAGGCTATTTCAATTCTTGGATTTTTACCAGCATAAATTCTTGATCATTATAAAATAAGGTAAAGTGGTTTTAGGTTTTGTAAAAAAATAAAATAATTTTTCCATTTAATATCTTGGATCACCACCACAATGTTCAGCAGTAAAAGAGGGATAGATCTTGTGAGAAACATGCTGTGTTTGAGCTCTCTGCCATTACCCACACCCACAGTGCCTACAGGGGTTGTACAGTAGTACGGACTGGAGGAATGATGCAGTTAACACTGACTGCACTAGGGGTGTCCAGTCCTGGTCCCAGGAGTGCTGGTGTGTGGTAGACTTTCAACCCAACTTTATTCTTATAAAGTAAATTGAACAATTACTGCCTTAATTGGACAAAATCCATTAAAAAATGCAAGTAGAAGATTTCACTCCATGTGTACATCTATTAGAAACATTTCAGAACTATAAGGTCTGTAACTGACTTATAGTTCTCTTCTCCTGCTTGTATAAACCTCAAGCTGATGTCAGTCTGTAAATTGTCCTGAGTGGTTTAACCGGCTGGCACACTCAGCCTTGAATGCAGAGACTTTTCATTAGTAGACAGTAAAAGGCTCTTTGGGGATTAATCTCAGCCTCAAGATAAAGCAGGAGGACAATTTGAAAGATGCCAGCATTTTTACTGTGCATTGTGAAGGAAGGAGAGGAGGCGGACAATGTGTCTGTGATGGACCGGCTTTAAAGACAGATACTATTTTCTCTTTGTAGCTTGAACATCTGTAAACAACAAAGTGCATATAAATTCAGAACCTAGAAATTATTACAAATGAGGTTTCCATCAACCGCAATTAGTTGTTTTATGCATAGCTGTTCGTGTCAATTGCTATTAAAAGCTGTGACAAGAATGAGGTAGTAAAGTCTGCTTTGGGCTCCATTACTGAGGGACTGGTCACACACTGGCTGTATAAGGTCAGCATGTAGCTCGTGTCCTGTGGAAGCTGTTCTCTTAGTGCTGAGGTTGAAGACACACCTAGATCTAGAAAGTAGTTAATTGACTCAATCTGAAATACCACTTGCCAGGATAAGTGATGAATGATGTTTCTCTTAATCTTACAAGAGGAATCAGGGACAAATGAGTGTAGCTGAAAAAATCTGTACTTCACTTAATAAGTATTAATCAACCTTGAGTGAGGTTGTATTTCTATAGACATTTATGTTTAGTAACAAACACATACAAATACTTAAACACAATACTGGCACAAGACCTGTTTTTGTGGGGGGTTTTTCTATTTAAAACATATACTGCACTCAGAGGTACATTAGTTCCCAGTTCTGGTCCTGGAGGAACAGGAGTTAATTGTCTCTTCTTAATCACAGGCTAATTGATTTCAGTTTTCTATTTGGGGCCTTTTTTTTAATTTGCCTTCAGCTCTTAAAAGGTAAATGGTATTGGTGCCAGCCTTGCTGAGGACACCTGAAATGTAGCCAATGTGACCTTGGCAAAAGAAAAAACCAAATGACCATATTGTGTGGGCTTGTCTGATACATTGTCATTCCCACCCGTGTCTGCTCATCACTGATGAACTACTAAGAGCTACAGGTTAGTAATCACCTAATAAGTGCTGATTAATGAGAAATCATAGCAAGCAGGTTGATGAAAGCCTTCATAAAGGTCTGTGCACTGAACTTGTTGGAAACAGCAACCTTGAAATACGGACTCAGGAGTGGCCAAAGAAACAAGCTAAAAGTATAAACAAGCAAGGAGATCAGTTATGGCAACAATTAGCACAGGAGATAAAAAGCTGCAGCTGGCATGAAGACCAGAAAATGCAGTGTTCCTCCAGGGACAGGACTGAGAACAACTGGCCTACAATAGCATTCCCAGACAGCCTTGGATCTAGACACAGGTAACAACAGAATTACCTTTTCATTCCATGCCCAGAGCCCAATTCCCAGGAAGGCTACACCAAGCAACTGCCAAGAGAAGAAAAAGGGAAATTTGTGTTACTGTTCTGCAGTTGATAAGGCACAAAAAAACAATTATGAATTCTTTTGTATGTTGGAATTTTCCCATCTTTCATTTCTTTCTCAGAAAACCATGTATTCTGGAATCATACTATCATGGTACAGGCTGACAGACTGGTCAATGAAACACACACATTGGCGGTTTTTTAAGTTGTTAAAAACTGCACAAGCAAAGTGAAGAAATTGGATGCAGCCAAGTACAGTACTTACAACAATACTCAGTCCTATGCATGGAAAATATTTTAGGTCCTTTGGTTCACAAAACGAACTCCAATTAGTTCACACAGGAATAAGGTGCTGTTGTAGAAATTATTATCTTTTGCAATAAAAAATTTATATTTAATAAGCAATGGAACAGACAATAAACAGATAAAGCAATATGTTCCTAACGCAGCACAAATCACCTTCCCCCGTGTTTCACTTTTCAGATATGTTTGGAGCAAAAGTTCACTGTACAGCTCATGGGATTGTCTCAATACTGTACATACAGTTGTTCATATCCTATTGTACTGTAGACCTTGGTGAGAAAAAGATAATTTCTGAAAAAAGTAAAACACCATATATCACACTATAAAGCAGGGGCTGTTAATCCCTTTACAGAGGTTGAGCTGCACTCTCAGTTACTTCACAAATTCCATACCCGAAATGTAATTTTAAATTGTTTTCAGGTGTTACACAGATGGAAATTTTAAAGTGCCTGTAATTGTGAATGATAAGGAGAATAAAATGTGCCGTTTTATTATTTTATTTGGGTGGGGGATTGAAACCAAGAATATGAAATGAGCCTCCATCTGTTAAGTGTTTAGGAATTCTTCAGACGCGTGTGCTACAAAATAAACTGGGAGTTCAATTAAATATTCAGTTAAAAGACTGATGACTCATATATTGTATAACCAAAATCTAAAGTTACTGGGGTTATCAGATGAGGACTGTTCATCAGGTTTTAACTACTGAACTGCTGAATGTGTACATTTTAAAAAGGTCACAAATTACAGAGATTTCCTAAGACTTTACCCCTTCTAAAATTAACTGCAGCTCTTCTCATTTTGGTTAAAAAATACTGAGGAACCTCATTAAGCAGCAGGTTTCTCATTTACATGAATAACCTGATTTACTGTGAGAAACAGAATATGTCAGCAGTTTACACTTCTTGCCAGCTGATGGCAAGGTGAGCACGTACAGAATACGTGCTTACATATTTGAGTGATGCACTCTCTGAAGTGCAAGAAATAACGAGACTGTTCACACATTTTCACTGCACTTGGATACTTACCGGTAGTATGATTATAATAATAAGAATAAACCGTATTTTATATAGCAGAAAAAATAAACAATAAGAGGAGATAGCAGATAGAGATATAAAGAGAATCATAGTTACAACGAGGGTTTGGAATACAGTAGGGAGGCAAAGGGGCAGACACAGAACCTAGTTAAATAAAAGCCCTTCTAAAAAAGAAGGTTTTGAGTCCGGATTTGAAAGAGCTGATGTCCTTCGGGATAGAGTTCCAGAGCTCTGGGGCGTGGCAGGAGAAGGCCCTGACACCCACAGCGTGTAGAGGGGCTTGGGGGACGGGCAGGAGACCAGAATTAGTGAAGCAGCAAGGCGGGGAATAGAACAATAGCAGCTCAGACAAGATGAGGTGCCAAGCCATGCCAAGCCCTATACAGTAAGAGAGCATGAGGATTTCGAAAGTCAACACGATACCTGACAGGAAGCCAGTGCAGGGACTCCAGGGTAGGGGTAATGTGATTCATATTTCAAAACGGCAGCCTACACAAAATTAAGTGATGTCTTCAGAGCGGGTATTAGCAGTTTATATGCTGACTGCCTGTCCCAGCAAACACAGCAATGTGATCCCAGAGTGAGATGGCTTAGTGACCTCCATCCTGAGAAACAGCTGCAAACCCAATTCAAGAGCAATGGCATACACCTCCTCTTAAAATACTGCAGATATTAAGGAAATGTAGGCTAAGCCTAATTAAAGTAATAGTTGTGTGGTACTGATCATGTTAACTGGTGCCTAATGAAATGCCGCAGCAACAAAACGTTAAAAAATGTTAAATTATTAGATCTCCTATACTGAAATTGAACTAAAACTAAAACAGAATTGCTCATGGTGGGGGACTAAAATCAAACTACTGTATATAAACTGTAACTACAGGACTGAGCACAAATGCTTGTTTTACACTACATCTCTGCATCCCCTGATCCTTGGCATTAGGATGTCTAGGCATTACGCATCCCATTAACTGAATCATTACCTTGGCTAAGGCCATTTAGAGCTGCCAAATATTAAAGCAAAGCCTCTTAAAAAGATGAAGTTCAGATTCCACAGAAAGGGTATTTTTGAAAGGGTGGGTGGGTGGATAATTCTGTGAATCAGCAGTGCTCTCTCTTAAAATGTTCAGACCTTTTGTCAAATTTCCAAACATCTCGCTGCCCACCACATACCGTCTGTTTTTTTACACTCTATTACTTTTGGGAATCCAAGCACAATGAAGAAATAAACTGTACTCTATACTTAATATTTGTAATATACACACCTGCAGTTATGTGAAATTTTCTTTGATTACTACAAAAAACATATCTGCAGAGCACAGCAGTGTCCGCGCTGCTGCCATGAACCTACAGGGCTGGCGGGGTGGCCAGTCTGAGAATTTGGAACCGCAGTTCCCCTTTAAATCTGATACCATGTGACATTATTCTTCTCTGAATAATCCCCGAGTTAATTTCACTGACCACCAGGAGTCCCCAGACTAGAGCTCAAAACACTTCACCTCTTAAGCCGTCAAATATACTGGACAAAAATCCCATTTAAAATGATGTTAAAGAAAAGGCCACTGAAGTAGAGGAGTGTAAAATGAAGTCACAAAAGCAATAGTTTCCATAACCACAGTTGCTGGGAGGGAGAGAGAATACAGCCACAGTTCGATTTCTAATTTGTTTTAGGCGCCTTGGGCTCCATACTTCATCAAAGCAACAAAAGCTTGCTTACTTACTTACCCTGCCTCTCATCAAAACCAAAAGAAAGGTTTCTGGAAAGAAATCAAAACACTGTTAAGAGTACTACTACGCATAAAGGGGCTTAGAGGTGCATACATATTTGCAAGTGAACCAACCTTTGTAGTACTGAACTGGTGTAATTAGAATAATAACCTTTTCAGGTTGTTATAACTGCTGGTATACAACTGCTCATGATATGAAAACCTAAACGTGAACTTTTTTCATTTCAAACACACTGCACTGATATTGGAACACAGGAATCTACTTGACACAGACAAAATAAGACAATTATTGTAACCATGGCTTTGATACATACTGTACTGTACATTAACAGCACTTTCTCAAGCAGACCACTAGAGCAACTTCCTGTTCCTCAGAACCAGAATCTATGAATCACGTTCGCGACTACGAATCAGCCACACAATCACGAACCAGAGCACGCAAAGGAAAACTACCCAGAAGTGCATTTAAAAAGGAGAAAGGCACTTCTTTACCCACAGGATGGTGGGAGGCTGGAACAAGCTGCCCAACCAGTGGCTGAAGCTGATACCCTGACTTCTTTCAAGAAACAGCTTATTAAAATTAGCTAATTAAAGGGCCAGAATGGCTGAATGGCACCTCTCATTTTTAATCTAACGGTCTAAAGTTTGGTTTATTTTATACAACGAATTTGGACGGCACAGACTGGCTTCTCTGAGGCCTCTCCCCATGAGTGAAGAGGCTGTGGTGCCTCTCTTCCCTACAGCCGGTTCTAGTTACAGAACTACCCTTACTTTAGAAAGCTCTGGCCGGCCAACTAAATGTATCGTTTGCTTTGTAATACTTAATAAAAAATCGTTGTCAATCAAATGCAACTGCATTGCAAATTAATAGCATTAGTAACATTTTCTAACATTTTAAGAAATATGAATCATCCCGTAACTTCTCCAATGATTACACAGTTCAGTACAGTTAAACCGTTTCAGGGTTTAAAAAAGAGAGGAGATTGGGAGGCACTTCTTTGCACAAGGGTTGTGGGAGTCTGGAAGAAATGACTCATCTACTGTATGTTGTTGGAGCTGATATCCTTGCATCTTTCAAGAAAACAGCTGGTTGAGATCCTTGGATAATCTGGCTACTAGCAACCACAATCCATCAGAAAGTAAACTCCAGGCCTCCACAGTTCTCGCCTTGAATAAGTGTCTTGCTAATAAATGTATGTATTCGACACTCAGGGAATGAGAATATGTGCTTCTACTGAAGTAGGCCCAGAAATGTCTTCTCAACACCTGTAGTTTTCAATTACACTAATAGGAGGCTCCACTCAAGCTATCTATAATTAAAAATAAGATTAAGTGGCATTCTTATACACATAACCCTAGAAGATACATATTAAGTCACTCTCAGTGGTTTGGAGGAACACTTAATTAAGTTTACAGTGACTGTTTTTTTTGTGAAGGAATCAATCTACTGCCTGGGGAATAAGCAATAATCTCATTTCTGAATAGCTAATTCTGAGCATTCATTTATTAGTTTCACCTACTGGACAATTCTTCAGCTAAATTCAGTTCAGTTTATTTGTCACGTGCACAAGTGCTATACAAACACATTAAAGGAATCACCAAAAACATAAACACAGAACAGCAGCAGCAACAACAAGTTAAATAACACGCAATTTGTTTTTAAAAGTCAGACAAAAGTCAGAAAAAAAAACATATAAGCATGAGCCAGTGGTAGGGGTAGAGTTCAGTAATCTCACAGTTTGTGGGAAGAATCTCTGAATCTGGATGTTCGTGCCTTTATGCTCCTAAAATGCTTACCAGAGGGAATGGGGGAGAAAAGTGAGACTTCATAAGGGTCCTATTCAGCTTCCAGCACTTCAGCTCTCAAGGTTTTAATATTGCAAGTAGTTTTTAATCAATTTCTCAGTATGTTTACAGCAGATGTGTAATTGAATGAGCCAAAACAGCGTGGTTTGGAA